TGTGATTTGAAGAACTTAATGTTGAAACTTGGATAAGCATGGAATAATAATAATACAACACAAAATGTACGTTAACAAAATGTATTGAAACAAGGAAAAGGTACACAATATTTACAGTTAGTTTGGTATATTCTTGGGAAGACTGTTCCTGCATAATGGGTTGACTAAATCGCAGTCGGGCAGAGTCTCTCGATTCGATCTCTTCTTACTATCTCTTATCCGTCTTCCGGTACCAACCCATATTTATATGGTCGGTACTCCACTTATGTAAATTAGGCGTATCGTACACAACACTTAATTTGCCGCCTGAATTAGAATTTCAACCCAAATCGAACTTTCGGACCAAATCGGTCTTTTGGCCGGAATTGGATTTATAGCCCGAATCGAAATTAAAGTAATGTTTTGAAGTTCCATGGGATGAATTGAAGAATTCAAAGTTATTTCTTCAGTATTATCCGACACAAAACTAAAGGAACTTCTGCCTCAGCTTAGAAAACAGCAATGGTGATTTTGAAGCAATAACTTTGAATTATTTTCCATTCTACAGCATCTTTCCCACAGACACATCATTTCAAATCTATCGTTCTTTTGCTGAGCTTCATTCTTTTGTTAGAATGGTTCAGATTTTTAAAACTAGGACTCGTTATGCTGTGTCTATGGAGTTAAATAGCCCTCATTTCGTCTATATTCCATTTGTAAAGAGAAAGTATCACTTAGAAATTTTTTTTTTTCCGAGAGCTGCTATTTTGTGCCTACCCCACGACGCGTGTGAGCTTCCCCGAAATTTACAATCTTAACCTCTTCAAGTCAATGTTAATCACTCTATGTCCGCCTTATCTACATAATCTTTCTTCTACCTCCTACGTTCATATCATACACTCTAGCTCGAGTGGCTCTTGAGCCTTGTATAGTTTGAACGTTTGTATAAATATAAGTGTCTCTACACAAAAGTAAAGTTCACACAAGAACGGTTTAATTTTCCACGCGTATATGATAGGAACAAAGTCAGTTTCCTCGGTATTTTTCTCCGGTCTTTTGAACAGGAGTAGAGGTTTATCCTTTGTTTACTATTTAAGATTGGGTTTCTTCTTACTACTAAAATCTTTTTTCAAATTTATACTTCTAACGTCTCCGCCTAACACTCTAAAATTTTATTTACTATTTCTTTATTTTTTTCTCTAATGGAAGTAGATAGATTCACCTAACGTCCTGTTCACACCCTCTTCGATTTTTTAAAAAAGGAATAGAGGCTTCCTGATTAGGATTGGCTTTCCGGTTCCTTCTAAGATCTTTTTCGTTTTCTTTCATTCCCAGTCATCCTTTGCATCTTAGTGGCTCTGTCGCCTTCCTTGGGGTGAATCCATAAAAAAAATCCCTATTGGAAACAGCAGAATTGATTCCTCTCAGTGCAATTGAAGATATACTGCCCAGCGAGATTTCTCCCCTTAGTGCTGAGCTATTACACGCCGGCTACGCATGACCAATGTTCAGGCCCTGCCATGTAAGTATCGCTGTCGCTGAAATTTAACTCGGGACCTTTGATGTAAGTGCAGAGCGATATTATCTTTGGTAGAAGAAAGAAAATAAATGCTTGCACAGTTCAAAGGATGCACTTTTAAAAAATATATATATATAATAGAATAGATCCTATTTATATACTTCGAACTGTTGGCCTCATCTTTTTTTTTTTTTTTTTTTTTTTTGGCATATTCACGACGTTTCGACCTGTGTACGCTTCACCTTTCTTCAAGGACACATGGCCCATTGGATAAAAGCATTGGTTGAATCCGGTGACTAACCCAAACAGTTCAATACTTGAACAGAAAACGTGGAGAGTTAAGATAGAGGGAGATAACTGAGACATCTGGAAGAGGCACGGCATGGGGAACTAGAACAATCTACCTCAATGGACGCAATAAAGAGTTCAGCTCGAAATTCCAGTCACCTGAAGAAGGCTGAAGCGTACAACGGCCAAAACGTCGTTAGTATGGCAAAAAAAGTATGTCCGAAAAATGTAAATAATTACAATACCTCATCTCAGAAATACTGACAGAGAATAGTTCCTTTTGAGCCGATTTTCTTGCTTATTAATTTCAAAACAGCCGAACATCTAGACGAAAGTACGTAGCGGTTCTCCCCGGCCTCTTGTATCCTTCTCTTATTTATCGATAATTTCTATGTCATTTCTTATCCACTCAAGCATATTACCAGTTTTTATGTTCATTTTAAACGCAAAAATAGGAAGTGACATTATACACAGGTAATTTTTTTGAAGAGGTTAAATATCAAGCATTTCCGGTGACCGGATGCACTATATAAAGTTAATCAATTTTTTTCTGGAGGGGTTAAAAAAAACCTACCATTTTCGGTATCGTAACCTACTTGGTAGGCCTACATTCCTCCGGTACCTTTGGCTAACAGTACAGGTAGGCTCCTTCAGCAGGCCTCCAGTAAACTAGATTCTTTCTTTCTGTTGCTACATCAACATCAGAACGTCATTCACTATGTGTGCCGCTTAAAATCTACAAGTCTACCACTCGTCCCTTCAGCCCCTCAACTTCCGGCGTCTTCCTCTTTGGGTTGAGGCGCCCACTCGGTGTGAACCGAACTCAGGGGTAGCTGGCCGCACGCTCCCTGAATACCCGTAGATTGTTCGACCGGTCACTGGCCAAGTTCCGCCTGCTGCCCACATTGTGTTAGTTTTTATATCCAGTAAGCGGGGTGCTATCCATACGTTCACGGTCGATTGGGGATGTAGGCATGGCTGTGAGGGTGAGCGGCAGGAAAATTAGAATGTGGCAAACAAGGAAATAATATCTGCAGAAGCCGAACAACAATGAGTAAAATATTGATGTCTTTTATATAAGAAAACAACAACAGTAGAAAGAGTTTACAGAAAGGATAGAAAAGCAATTAACATAAGAAGAGAGGACCACTCCTCTAACAATTATACCAACAGAGAGAGGTGTGTGTGTGTGTGTGTGTGTGTGTGTGTGTGTGTGTGTGTGTGTGTGTGTGTGATTAACTCGTTCCAAATCAACTTGGGAGGATATGTGACTCGTAATTCCAACCTTACGTGGAAGTGTAGTTTTTCAGTTGGTTGTCGTATGTGACCAACGTTAAGTTTCAGCGACTTTTCAATGCGACTGCTATAACGACGATGATATTTCTTGAAGTCTTTATCTCTGACTCACTACTGGACCGACTCACTGCAACGACAGACTCTCTCTCTCTCTCATCGTCATTCTCCTCTAACGCCCAAGTCTCCCCAACTCAGCAAAACTCGCGTTTATATAGCAAACCGAAGGTTATAAGCCAGGTTGTTCACGTGCTTAACACGAGTGTCGCCATAAGCGAAGTTTAAATTCAGATCTATTTCAAATCTCTGAGCGGATAAAATTAATTAGTTCAATGTTCATTTCAATTGTCTTTTCGATGACCAAATTCAACGGATACAACTTATGTTTAGATCAGATTTCGCTAGCGGTAAACATACACTGATCTTACCTCCCCGATCCAATTTACTTCAATATGTTTTTATCAAAAATATTATTTTCGTTTTTTTTTTTTAATGACCCAAATTAAACATCGTCTCCCGCCCTTTTGCATTTGTTTATAAACAAGTCCTCGCCAACCAGATTTGAAATTTATTCTTTATCCATCAGCCGTCTCAGGTTTCATATATCATTGTTCTAGATTCTTTCCTATTAATAGCGCTGACACAGTTTGTAACTTTCACGGAAGATCATGTTTTCCATCTTCAATCAATAAACGTTATATTTGCGTGTGTGCATTCATGTGCGTCAACCTCTCTCTGATACACAAGTACTTTATATAAATGAAGAATTAACAACGGTTTTTTTTCCTTTCTCCAATTAGCGTTAATCCTCGTTCGCACGTGTTTACATCACTGAGCTATTGCTTTTCCAACGTTACTCCTTTCGTCTGAGACGTATCTATACCGTATGTGTTCCTTATTTTATTTCATTTTACATTTTCAAATTTAACCTCAGATTCTTGCAAAATAAAGCAAAGAACAACAAATGTGTAGAATGACTTGAATTATAATACGTACCTCAACTCGAAAAGTACCCTGCATTATGTAAAGATAATTCTGATAAAAATGATTGTCATTGGAAAGGGAATACCTTGATGATGTAAACACTTGTGAAACGAAGATGAATGTGAATTTGATATAGAAAAAGATCTATTAAGTTTTTTTTTTTCATTTATATAAGGTTTGTTTAGTTTAAATAGCATGCATAATGAATGGGGTTTTGCTCTTCATGTAGCGACAAAAGGGAAGAAACTTAGACTATGTCGGAGGCTAGTCAGTGTAAAGGAACTACCGTCGTCAGGCATGAACGAAAACAAATGTACGCTATCTAATTCTTTGTATTACATATTTTACGGTAAGTGTTTTTTCACACCATTTTGTGGTAGCTTTGTACAAATAAGAATGAAGACCATTTCTTTTTTTAAAATCGATTTTATCCCAAGCAAGGCAGTAAAGCCACTAAGACACAAAAATTTGACTAAAAATATACAATAGAATAGAATCACATTATACATATTCTATAGTAGAGGTTACTGGGTGTGAAAGGAGTAGAGGTTACTGGGTGTGAAAGGAGTAGAGGTTACTGGGTGTGAAAGAAGTAGAGGTTACTAGGTTTGAAAGGAGTAGAGGTTACTGGGTGCTTGAAAGGAGTAGAGGTTACTGGGTGTGAAAGGAGTAGAGGTTGCTGGGTATGTGAAAGGAGTAGAGGTTACTGGGTGTGTGAAAGGAGTAGAGGTTACTGGGTGTGAAGGAGTAGAGGTTGCTGGGTATGTAAAAGGAGTAGAGGTTACTGGGCGTGAAAGGAGTAGAGGTTTCTGAGTGTGAAAGGAGTAGAGGTTACCGGGTGTGTGAAAGGAATAGAGGTTACTGGGTGTGTGAAAGAAGTAGAGGTTTCTGAGTGTGAAAGGAGTAGAGGTTGCCGGGTATGTGAAAGGAATAGAGGTTACTGGGTGTGTGAAAGGAGTAGAGGTTTCTGAGTGTGAAAGGAGTAGAGGTTGCCGGGTATGTGAAAAGAATAGAGGTTACTGGGTGTGAAAGGAGTAGAGGTTTCTGAGTGTGATAGGGAGTAGAGGTTGCCGGGTATGTGAAAGGAATAGAGGTTACTGGGTGTGTGAAAGGAGTAGAGGTTTCTGAGTGTGAAAGGAGTAGAGGTTGCCGGGTATGTGAAACGAATAGAGGTTACTGGGTGTGTGAAAGGAGTAGAGGTTTCTGAGTGTGAAAGGAGTAGAGGTTGCCGGGTATGTGAAAGGAATAGAGGTAACTGGGTGTGTGAAAGGAGTAGAGGTTTCTGAGTGTGAAAGGAGTAGAGGTTGCCGGGTATGTGAAAAAGGGAATAGAGGTTACTGGGTGTGTGAAAGGAGTAGAGGTTTCTGAGTGTGAAAGGAGTAGAGGTTGCCGGGTATGTGAAAGGAATAGAGGTTACTGGGTGTGTGAAAGGAGTAGAGGTTTCTGAGTGTGAAAGGAGTAGAGGTTGCCGGGTATGTGAAAAGAATAGAGGTTACTGGGTGTGTGAAAAGAGTAGAGGTTTCTGAGTGTGAAAGGAGTAGAGGTTGCCGGGTATGTGAAAGGAATAGAGGTTACTGGGTGTGTGAAAGGAGTAGAGGTTTCTGAGTGTGAAAGGAGTAGAGGTTGCCTGGTATGTGAAACGAATAGAGGTTACTGGGTGTGAAAGGAGTAGAGGTTACTGAGTGTGAAAGGAGTAGAGGTTGCTGGGTATGTGAAAGGAGTAGAGGTTACTGGGTGTGTGAAAGGAGTAGAGGTTACTGGGTGTGAAGGAGTAGAGGTTACTGGGTGTGGTTACTGGGTGTGAAAGGAGTAGAGGTTACTGGATGTGTGAAAGGAGTAGAGGTTACTAGGATTGAAAGGAGTAGAGGTTACTGGGTGTGTGAAAGGAGTAGAGGTTACTAGGATTGAAAGGAGTAGAGGTTACTGGGTGTTTGAAAGGAGTAGAGGTTACTGGGTATGTGAAAGGAGTAGAGGTTACTGGGTTTGAAAGGAGTAGAGGTTACTGGGTGTGTGAAAGGAGTAGAGGTTACTGGGTGTGTGAAAGGAGTAGAGGTTACTGGGTGTGAACGGAGTAGAGGTTACTGGGTGTGTGAAAGGAGTAGAGTTTACTGGGTGTTTGAAAGGAGTAGAGGTTACTGGCTGTTTGAAAGGAGTAGAGGTTACTGGGTGTGTGAAAGGAGTAGAGGTTACTGGGTGTTTGAAAGGAGTAGAGTTTACTGGGTGTTTGAAAAGAGTAGAGGTTACTGGGTATGTGAAAGGAGTAGAGGTTACTGGGTGTGTGAAAGGCGTAGAGGTTACTGTGTGTGAATGGAGTAGAGGTTACTGTGTGTGTGAAAGGAGTAGAGGTTACTGGGTGTGAAAGGAGTAGAGGTTACTGGGTATGTGAAAGGAGTAGAGTTTACTGGGTGTGTGAAAGGAATAAAGGTTACTCGTGTGTGAAGGGAGTAGAGGTTACTGGGTGTGAAAGAATTACAAAACAGAAACTTTACTAAGGAGCAATAGTTAAAGAAGAAGAATCTGGAGAAGAGAAGAAAGCGTTTAAATTTAAATTTTTGAAGATTGAGCTTGGCTGGAAATATGGAGTCGGATGTGAGTGCTACAAACGAGAAAAGAAGATACAACTTACGCCAACTGAACTCTAAAATGGTGAAACCTCGACGCCAGTCTTGTACTGCGCTTAAATGCAAAAGTCGTGGCATCATGGCAAAGAGCTCACTCGAAGAGTTGCCATGGAAGTATTTATAGAAAAGCTAAAACCGTCCTGGGTATGACAATAAACCACATCCGCGTCCTGGGTAAGACGATAAACTACATCCAACAGCAAGGCCTCTTGTCAGGAGGTTTTGAGGAACGTGGAACCACCTCTTAATTACTGGTGTTCCAAGTTCCACCCTGACCCGGGGTGGTAACACCTGTTAGGGTCCCAGATATGAGAATAGAATCACATTATACATATTCTATAGTAGAGAAAATAGTTAACCCCAAACCGGGGTCAAAATTCTATGAAAGTGTAAAAATAGGTTTTAATACCAGCAATGGTGGAGTAATTGATAGCGGCTCGGATTGAGGAATCGGAGAGCCGAGTTCGAATTCCACTCGAATCCATTACATTCACTTACGTGCTAATACCCTTGCGAAAGGTATGAATCCTATTCTTCTCCTCCAGCTATGGATAAATAGCAGGACAGACCGGATTCCTACCTAAACACAGAGTGTGTTGAAACAAAATGGCTATTTTTGTAGTGATTTTATAACATACTTATGTTATAATTTTTTTATAAAAAATAATTATATCTGCTCTACTTTGTATTGAGCACTCTTTTAAGAATAGTAATTGTTGGTAGGTAGGATCGTTAATTAATCTGAAACTTTTAAAACCATTTATTTTATTTTCAACATCATCACTTGATAAGACACAGAGTGTGTTGAAACAAAATGGCTATTTTTGTAGTGATTTTATAACATGCTTATGTTATAATTTTTATATATATAATATATATATATATATATATATATATATATATATATATCGTGGAACCTCAACCTACCAATTTAATCCGTTGCAGGAGTGGATTCGTAACTGGAAATTTCGTATGTTGAAACAATTTTCCCCATTTAAAATAACAGAAATTGAATTAATTCGTTCCAATCTCAAAAAATATTGATATAAAAATCAATAAAAGTTGCATTTTATGCAGTATTAAGTACCTTTTTTTTAAGATTATACAAAAAATAATGTAAATAAACATATCACTGTGACTCCTTCCTTCCCAGGCATTATCAATGTGATTTAAGCAATTTAGGAAATTGAAGTGACCCTTCTAAAATTCTTTTAAGGTCAAGTTTGTATTTTCAGTCATTTCAAAACATCCCTGAAACAAGGCATCAGAGTTCGCAGCTTCTCCATGTCTCACTACATTGCGGATGCCGGTTCTCTTTTGGAAATTTTTCAAACAATCCTCAGCTTGCTTCAAATGGATTTCCATCTTCAGAAGACGTGCCTGGTATTTTTCTGATAAGATCCACATACAGTGACCTTGGCTTTGCACGTGTAATATCGTCAGACACAGAATCACCCCGTAGCTGCCTCTCATTCATCCACGCTAGCAACGGCTTCTCAACATCTTCTAGGACTTTTGGATAATGTTTGGTAATTATGCTAACTCCTTTGGCTATACCAAGCCTTTTTATTTCTATCTTGTTCTTTAGGATAGTTGATGCTGAACGTCCGTATAGATTGGCAAAGTTAGAAACACGGGTACCTTCTTCGTGCTTCTGAATGATCTCCTTTTTCATTTTCACGGATATTTTTCCGTCGATGTCAACCAATAAGATGGTTTCTAACCAGCTTATTGGGTGATATCGTAGGCGACAAAATTATCAGAAAATTACTAAAATTTAAAATTTATTGTACATGTACAGTAATACTTACAGTAACACATTAGACTGTACAGTACAGTAACTGTATGGAAAATGTAACGAAACAAACTGCAATGATGAAATCTACCGTACAAATCAACTTGAACTGGATGCGTAGTTTATTTTACTGTGTAGTTTATTTGCTGTACCTGCCTTTTTATACGTTTTATGTTACTCTAATTAAACTTTATAATTGTTTTTTACATTACTGTACTGTATTGATATCAATTTAAAATTCAATGATTATACACTGTATATTAGACTAAAACACACTTTAAATTACATTGAGATTAAACGAAACGAACTCAGCATTGTCACATTTTACCTACTTTTAATTCAATAAATTTTAATAAAAATTACATGTTACTGCACTGTACAGTAACGTACATGTACTGTATTCATTAGTATACATAAATTTTTGCACATTATTATTTTTTTTCATACTTACACTAATATAATCACAAATATGCGTAGACTACAAATGTTTATTCTATGAGGTAATAAAGAGGACTGAGCGAGATGACGCAGTGCACGGAGCATCACAAAACATTTAGTGTGGTGAAACTGTATAGAAATATGTAGTGTATAATAATACAATACAGTACTGTATGTATCAGGTCATCCCATAAGTTCTGTCCGAATTTTAACTTTTTGTTAAAATGAACGAAATTTAAAGAGTATTTTATAATGTCTAATGGAGCTGAACATTATTTTTATGTTTAGATGCATTTAAACTGATCAAATTTTATTTCAGAGAACAATAAGATTAAATTTTGTTTGATTAAAAACCCTGCTAACATGGAAGTACCCAAGAATCATTTGAGGCACATAATGCTTTATGAGTTCAAGAAAGAAAACTCAGCAGCCAAAGTGGCTAGAAACATTCACTCAGTTTATGGAGAGGAATGTGTGAATGAAAGAACTTGCAGAAGATGGTTTGCAAAATTCAGAGGTGGAGATTTCACCCTTGAAGATGAAGATCGAACCGGACGTCCAGTTGAGTTTGATAAAAAGCTTCTTGAAGCAGCCCTGGAAGAAAATCCTGCTTTATCAGTTGAGGAATTGGCAGTGGTTCTCAGTTCAAACCATACAACTGTTCATCGTCATCTTCAACAAATTTGAAAAGTTCCTAAACTTGGAAAATGAATTGTCTGAAAGCAACCTCAAATCCCGAGTTGACATCTGCTCTTCTCTCCATTCTCGCCAACTTGTTTCACCTTTTTTGAATAGACTTGTGACTGGCGACGAAAAATGGATTTTTTATCGAAATGTTAAGCGTCGTAGACAGTGGCTTGGTAAAGGGGAAGGACCCCAGCCACAGCTGAGAAGGGAACTTCATGGGCAAAAGGTTCTTCTTTCAATCTGATGGGATCGCCAAGGAATAAACCACTTTGAATTCTTACCACCAATTAATGCTCAAATATACTGTCAGCAATTATAGCATTTGAACCAAGCTTTGAGGAAAAAAAGACCTGCTCTAGGGAATCGAAAAGAGGTGATGTTTCATCAGGGCAATGCGCGACCCCACACAGCAAGAATCACGTCACAAAAGATCGAATCCACCTTATTCTCCCGATCTTGCTCCTTCAGACTACCATTTGTTTTGTAGCTTACAGAATCATTTGGAAAAAACAGCTTTTGTAACACAGGAAGAGGTTAAAACTGACATTTGTGAGTTCTTCGAATCAAATCCAAAAGAATTTTACAGTAATGGAATTAGTAAGCTTGTTAATAGATGGAAGGAAGTAATAGATAATCAGGGAAAATACATTGTTGATTGAATCTGTAATTAAATGTAACATTTGGTCACTTGTTTTCTTTATTCAAAATTCGGACAGAACGTATGGGATGACCTGATAAAATATATTCTAATATAATAGTGTACTATTCTAATATAATAGTGTACACTGTACGTAAGGCATAAAAATATAAGAATATAAAATACAGTATAAAATATATCTACAAATGGAGTACAGTACAGAAGAAAAATATAGTATAATAAAGTATTGTAATAGTGTATAATACTACAGTATTGTATTATTATATATAAAAGTGTTGACGTTTGCTTTTTTTATATAATAATATCAACTATGAACACGGACACAATTTGCTGGCCGTGTTTGGAAAATAAAACAGTCCTATAACTCTAGATACGCACATAAAACAATCCATACATTCAGTTAAAATTGAAAATAAAATTTACCCTTGATAAAGGCTAAAATTATACCCCAAAAGCAATCGGACATGCAAAATATTTGGACAATTTCCCTATAATTTATGTCCAGAAAAGAAGAAAATTATAAAAACACATGAAAAATTAAATAAGAAACTTGGGAAAGGTATGCATCTTCTTCTTCTCCCTCCAGACCGGGTTCTATAGCCTTGGATGGCAACTGGTTTACCGCAGAAAGAAATGGCAACCTACAGTGGGAAAAAAATTGCCTCGTCAGTTATTTATCGAAAGATACATGATCACCTAAGCGTGTATCACACATGACACTTAATCGAATACATTTTTGTAAAAATTATTACTAGCAATTAATTTTTGAGGAAAAAATTATTACCAGCAAAACATTATTACCAGTAATACATTTTTGAAGAAAAAATATTGCCAGCAGTACTTTTTTGAACAAAAATATTACCAGCAATAAAATCTTGTCGGCATTAAAGGTTGATATGGCGTAAAAGAAAACAAACCAAATCAAATCAAAATATAAAATATATCCAGGAAGATGCAATATTTCATTGCAGTAGTGATCGCAGATCGGGTCACATTATACACATTCTACAAAAAGTCAGGAACTGCCTAGTCTTCACTTTCCTCTATAAATCCCACAAAGCCTCACCGCGTCCTTGTGGATGAGGAATTTGTATTCTACAACCACTTTCCCAAAGACAAAACATCGCAAGTATCGCTATTGCCATGTAAAATGTTCAGACGAACTACATTCCTTAGTTCCACCAGTTCTAATCTTCACAGCTAAGGCCCGACATGCCACATACGCAGGGGCGAATCACCCCATTCCCTACGTATTCCATTCGTAAGGATGAACTTCCCCTCCCTTCTTCTCAAGAATGACTACGTTTGGGGAACAGATGCTTTTCCGACAGTCTTAACATTTTCAAGTCTAGGTTTAGCCGTTATCTTTCCCACATATAAAAGGCACATCTTATTCTTACCGCTCATTTAGCAACCTACTTTAGTATTCCTCTACCTTGAGTGGCTCTTGGACCTTGTATTGGGTGAACATTAATTAAAAAAGAATCCTAGGAACTATTACTGTGATGCTACATCAACTACGTTTGACGCAATAAGTAACTACCAGAAATATTATATACAGTCTTTACGGCCACCGAAATCCACGGATGCATTTAAGAAGCTAAGCAAAGTATTAAGAAACAGAAAAAATATTCATTAGAAACAAAAACAAAAAAAGAGTACTGAACTATCACGTGATATCTGTCCTCCTGTATGGCAATGAATGCTGGACAATCGCCTCAAAGATGAAGAGGAGACTTGAAGCAACAGAAATGTGGTTCTACAGAAGGCTGCAAAGAATACCATGGGCCGAACATGGGAGCAACGACGGTGTTTTATAGAAAATGAAAACAAAAAGGACACTAATACTTAACTTCAGGAAGAGACTGTTGAAATTTCTAATGAACATAATGAGGATAGCGGGCTTGGAAAATCTAATACCCACAGGACAGATTGAAGTTAAGAGGAAAACAACGCATAACTTACTTAGCTTGAGTAAATGGATGGCGGAACAAGGTTTAGGAGAAATAACAAATAGACAACATTTGTTAAGAGCTAAAAAGGACATAAAAATTTTGGAGGCCTATGATCACCTACGTTCTGAATGGACACTGTATACATCAGAAAAGGAATAGATTCGAGCATAGAAGAAGAAGAAGAAGAAGAAGAAGAAGAAGAAGAAGACGCTCAGATGTTATGACTAAAACCAGAAAACCCTTGTAGATGTATTCAAAAAAGCTACTTGAGTAATCATGAAAATCGGAGTTGACACTTGCTAAATATTAGGTGAAAACACTTTGTGGAATGTTCAAACACCCCACGGCACTAACGGAAGTTAAATAAATGTCTGCATCAGCGATGTGCGCAACAAGTCACGTTTTGAGGGTGGTACGCAGGTTCATCACTGACGAATATGCATAGCCAATGGTGGTAACTACATAGAAAAATAGTGTCATTGTGCTTCTCATCTCTGTCGTAGTCTCCGTGGAAATAAATGGAAGGCATTATTTGCTGAACGCCACTCGCAGATGCTTTCGTACATATTACATATATATATATATATATATATATATATATATATATAAGTAGCAGGGGGCAATTTTTCAGTTATGTAAGTTTAGTGAAAAAGGAACGAAAGTGATTTTTTTTTATTAAATGTTTTAATAATTTATCGCACTTATGTGTGTGAGTTCAAAGTTGAGTAGAAAACTTATATAAAATAGTCATAACGATAATAAAATAACATCCGTTAGTCGCCCATCTATCTTTGGGATAACTTTGACTAGTGAACCCGGATATTATTATTTTAAAATTCTCTTAAATATTTGTTCTCGTTTATACACTGATGTAAGTATGATAGATAGATAGATAGATAGATAGATAGATAGATAGATAGATAGATAGATAGATAAACAGACTGAGATAGATAGATAGATAGATAGATAGATAGATAGATAATAAACAGACTGAGATAGATAGATAGATAGATAGATAGATAGATAGATAGATAGATAGATAGATCTGTCTATATTTCTGAGATGAGGTATTATGTACAGTATTTACATTAGTCGGACTATTGTCCTCATCTTTGTCGCCATATTTGTCACAACGTTTCGGCCGTTGTACGCTCCGGCCTTCTTCAGGTGGTTGGAATTTCGAACTGAACCCTTTATTTCGATCGCTGGGGTAGACTGTTCTAGTTCCACGTGCCATGTTGATGGATGTTCGAAATTCCAACCACCTGAAGAAGGCCGGAGCGTACAACGGCCGAAACGTTGTGGACAAATATATGACAAAGATGAGGACAATAGTCCGACTAATGTAAATACTGTAGATAGATAGATAGATAGATAGATAGATAGATAGATAGATAGATAGATAGATGAAGTTTTATCTGACGAATGAAACTGGGGCAATTTCTGTGGGCTTTTTTTTTTTTACACACCCTGCATGTTAAATTACTCCCAGGGTAGTATTGATCGTAATCTTTTTTTCGTTTTTTTTTTTTGTTTTTTTTTTTTGTCTTAACGAATTAACTTCAAGCAAGGCGATAATGCCACTAAAACGCCAGGGGCTACTGGGAGTGAAAAAAACTTTAGAGGGAACCGGAAACCCAATCCTAAACAGGAAAATAAAGGATAAACCTCTACTTCTGTTCAAATGACCTGGGAAGAGAGTGAACAGGGCGATAGGCGAAACTTTCTGCTCCCGTCAAAAGTAAACAAGTATGACTCTTCTTGTGGTTAACGATCCCAGTATTTGAGAGACATATTTGCCACATTCATCACATGCAGATTGATGAATTGCTGGATCAATAATTTCCCCTTTTGTAACTTCACGTTTGATATTTGCCCAAACCCATTGCATGTTCTTCAAATGTTTTAGTACCTTCATGAATTGTTTGGTTTGGTTTGTTTTACGGTATATCAACCTCAATAGCTTATTTAATGCCGCCAAAACTTTGGCAATACTTTTTCCTTCAAAAATGTATTGCTAGTAATTTTTTTTTTTTTTTTTTTTTCAAAAGTGTATTGCTGGTAATAATTTTTTTACAAAGTATTTCTGGTATTAAAACCTATTTTTACACTTTCATAATGTTTTGACCCCAGTTTGTGGGTTAACTATTTACCCATAGCTGGGACCCCTAATAGGTACTACCACCCCGGGTCAGGGTGGACTTAGGAACACCAGCAATGAAGAGAGGCTTCCACGCTCCTCAAAATCTCTTGATCAGAGGCCTTGCTGCTGGACGTAGTTTATCGTCTTACCCTGGACGCTCATAAATTGCTACCCCCCCCCCGCCGCTTATTTTAATCACAATGTTGGGACTTAAACTCAGCCCAGACCTGAAGTAGAACGCGTACATACGATCAGTCGCTAAAGATGCTGGAAAAAATGGTCCGTTCCACTAACTACATGACTCTTCCTGCTACGTTCACACCGAAAATGGAGTACTGTTGTCATATATTGACAGCAGCTACACAGTCTTCACTTTCCAGTCTCGACAGAGTTCAAAGGTATATCCCCATCCTTGTGGGTGATTAATCATTCCCCTCCCCCGCTTACAATCCTTTTTTTTTTACAGACGAAACATCACAAGCCTCTCGCTGTTCTGTTGCTGTTACCATGGAAAGAGGTCAGACGAAGTATATTCCTTGTTCCCACCAGTTCAAACTTAAGACCTGCCATGCCGTGCTCACTGTAGTGAACCACCGTCATTTCCTTTTTATTCTATTGCTAAGATGTAAGGTCCACTTGAGCAGATTCTTCATACGAAGCTCTGCTTCTCGGCACCAAAGTGGATATTTCCCCAATCACATCAGACTTTACCAACGGTCAACCGTGATCTTTCCCACATATTCACGTAAACTGTACTTCTTAATCTGTAATCTTCTAGCTCGAGTAGCTCATGCCTTGTGTAGGGTGAACATCATTGTAAAGAAAAGGGAGATCTTCTATATGGCACACCGCAAGGGACAGTATTCTGCAATCTGCAAGGTGAAGGTATGGAAAGGAACTGAATGATACATACATACATACATACATACATACATACATACAAAAATTGTGAACATAGGAATCATCACCCCTTTGTAAATGTACAGAAAGGAACAGATAGATAGATAGATAGATAGATAGATAGATAGATAGATAGATAGATAGATAGATAGAAACGAATTCACATAGATAGATAGGTCGTAGACGTACGGAAATGAATGAAAGGATAGATAGATAGATAGATAGATAGATAGATAGATAGATAGATAGATCGTAGACATAGAAATCAACACTCCTTCGTAGATGTACGGAAATGAACGGATAGATAGATAGATAGATAGATAGATAGATAGATAGATAGATAGATAGATAGATAGATAGATAGATAGAAACGAATTCACATATATAGATAGGTCGTAGACGTACGGAAATGAATGAAATGATAGATAGATAGATAGATAGATAGATAGATAGATAGATAGATAGATAGATAGATAGGAACGAATTCACATAGAAAGGTCGTAGACGTACGGAAATGAACGGATAGATAGATAGATAGATAGATAGATAGATAGATAGATAGATAGATAGATAGATAGATAGATTGTAAACATAGAAATCAACACTCCTTCGTAGATGTACGGAAATGAACAGATAGATAGATACTGTGTTGTTTTTGATGATGTTGTCATATTATGTACATAATTAAATAGACCTTCCGATTCTATCTTTTTTTCTTCTTTTTATCAATCAAAATGATACATTTTATTTTATTTTCCGTATCTTTTCTCTGACTTTTTCTTTTTGTCGCTTTCTTTCCCCTGAGATGAATAATAAGTCTGTCTCTTTTCTAAATTCCCCCACCCTTACCGACCTCGAACATTTTCCCTTCTTTTTTTTTTTTTCTCCTAAGGGATGGCCTCAGGGGTGTCAAGCCTTCCAACATGATTTCTGCAGCATCACTCCCCCTCCTTGCCATCACGATAATCCTCCTTACCATCCCGGAACGGCCAGTAAGAAGTACGGCGACACATCGTAATTATTTTGTTAGTTTTATTGAGTTTTCCTCCTTTACTATTTCTCTTCCACATTTTTTTTTTTTCAAACTTTCCTAACTTTAAACAAAGAATTCTTCTTGACGATTCGAAAAAAAAAAAAAAAAAAGAAAGAAAAAAAAAGAAAGAAAAAATGAAAAGAAAAACATCTCCAAGAGTTTGAAGTTAGGTTATTAGAGCAGCAGGTCGCGATGCGCCGACTACAGAGACTTCACTATACGATAATAATCTGCGGTTCTTTGGCGTCATACGGACCAAACTTTGCTGTCAAAAGACATGATGTAAATAGCCCACTGTCCAGCATGGCGTGCCGTGCGCCAGTTGGCGGGAAGAAGCGAGCGGGCCGACGCACGGGCTGGAGGGGGAGGATATAAAATAGGAAGATGCTGTAAGGCGTGGAAAGTAGATGGAGGGTCGAGGGTGCTTCTGCGCCCGCCTTAGCTACTCTGAAGAACCTCATACGCCCTAAACAGGAAGAAATAGATAACGTCAAATTGCAATCAACAAGTTGGAGATAAGACTTTAAAAGTGATCACATGTGATAAATTTTTTTATGAATTTTGTCTCGTTATTTTTTTTTTTTCGTTTTTATTTACATGCTTTCTAAGTTGTTAATTCCGTGTCATTCCACAGCGTTTCCTTTTAATAAACAGATAAATGAATGAATGGATTTAATTAACTTTGGATCAAATTTTTAGAATAAGTCGTCAAAAGAATTAACGTAATTTTTTTTAAAAATAACGTCACTCCATACACTCGTATAAAAATCCGTGCAAAGATACTCATACTCTTGCATGAAGAATTTAACCCCAAATTCACGAATTTGCATCATCCTTACATCAGCAGAAGGTTATTAATGACCTCAGAGCTATCATTAATTTTACAAGAATACGAACGTATTAGCAATAGTAGCAATCGATGCCAGATCTCACCTAGATTGTCTATGATAAAGCAAAACTTCGGGTGTGTAAAAATAACGTATAAAATGATACAAATCTGTCAGATTAATAAAAAAAAATCCATTCTAAAATTCTCTTTGTTTACGTTTAGATATGAAACTGTGCAGATATGAAAAACATCGAGAGATCTATGACAGGATAAATTTAGCCTCCGTGGCCAAATCGGTCAGGCGTACTGAGCTAAACGGTAGCTCCCTCTATCTTGATGGATGCAAGGTTCGATTCCTGCCGGAGAGCGCAAATTTTTTTCATAAGATTTCTCAAACATTCAGGCTAGTAGACGAAAATAAATAAATATACTGTTTAATAAACAACCGGGCGTCTATTCAAATACGAGCATCCACTAAAAATAACATTTTAAGTGATAAAAATCTGTGAGCTTAATAAAAAAATCCATTCTAAAATATATGTGTGTGTATATGAAATCTCAGATATAACTAAAAATATATCTGTAAAAGGATAATATGAATCAAGATAAAAATGAAAACTTATCTTAGCCGACGCGTTTCGTCCTCTTTAACAAGGCAAATGTTTTCATTTTGCAACTAGTATTTATAAACAAAAGCATACGTTTACCTATCCTCTTAACAAACTTAATAACGTCGAACCCACAATATAGTTTACCTTTGACTCTAATTCCAATAACTCTTTACCCTTCCTAGATATCATGCTACATACATCAAACTAATAATGACCTTCAGTTGAGGATTTACAGAAAATCTATCGACAAGAATGACCTTATTAATTTCTATTCTCGCCGTTGTAACAGGATACAATTTGGAATAATTATAGTATTCTATATAAGAGCACTAACAGAAGAATAAATATACATAGACAACACTTTCAAAAATGATTATTTCATTCACAATGCTAAGAAAAATGCATACAAAATATACAACCGCAGAAAAAATGGCATTTTTAACATCAACAACAACAATAACAATGACATTAAACTAGACAAAAACAAGCCTATAATACTACCTACTAACTCCTTAACATCTACTATACAAAACAATTTATCCAATCTTAACAATACAAAATTAATTACAACCACATCCAAAACTATTATGCACATGATAAGAAGCAAAAATATCGAAAACAATACATATCGGGGGGCGGGGGCGATACACAAATCTGTATATATCAAGATGCAATCAACATACTTCTAATATATTGATGACGCTCTATCCCTGCGAAACTAATTTAACTGACCTTGTAGATAAATTAAAGAAGCTCGAACATACGATGGGATTTACTTATGAAATAAAATCAAACAATACTTTACCTTTACTAGATATAATGTTACACCGCAGTAACAATAGCCTAAGACCAAGTGCCCATCACAAATCAACAAATAAAAAAGATCTCATAAATTTCTATTCTCGCCATATCAACAAAATAACATCCAGAATAATGATCGGATTCTATTTAAGAGCACTCAGAATACATTGAAAATTATTTTAAGCTCTTCCAATACACTAATTATTTCATATTCAAAGCGAAACAAAAGGCCCGTAAAATATTTCAAAATAGAAAAGGGGACCTTCCTAGCAAACCCATTGAATCAAACATATTGTTCTACCCATCAACTGCATCACAACTACAATTGAATAGATTTTATCTACGCCCAATATAAAATTTTACGGTAAGTACGCCTAATAAAAAGACTTAATTAATTCAGAGCAAAATAATAAGCTAAAACTTGAAGGGTGGATTGACTCTATCACCTGTAATCATTGCCACAAGCAATACATAGGAGAAACCTCAAAGAACTTAAATAAACGTTTATATGGACACAAAAGGGGTCTTTTACAAAAGAACAGCCTAAATGCATTAGTTCTTCACCGTAATGAGTCTGACTATAATTTTGATTTAAAAAATACGAATCTAATTAAAAATGTAAACATTTACAAATAAGTGTATATTGACCTTGTGTAATGATTAAAAGAAAATGCACAAAGTGTTGATAAATACAAAATATATCTTTATATACACAAAATAAAAATATACAAGAATAAGGTGAAAGTTGAAGTTTCAAGAGTCCACTTATAAAAATCCTGGTGCATACGAGAAACAGAGAAAGAATCCGAGGATGTATATATATATATATATATATATATATATATATATATATATATATATATATATATATATAACGTCATCTACAGACATACTGTTTCGCAGCTCATCAGTGTGGCTAGACATCCGGTAGGGACGAAAGTGAATTTTTTAGCGTATTTATTTTTACCATCACGCCCAGTGACATTTAATATATATATATATATATATATATATATATATATATATATTCAAATGTAGTCTGACCACGCGGTGAAGGAAAGTATGTTTGTTTTCAATGTAGAAACGACGGTTTAGCCGTTTAAGTTCGCTAGCTAGTCGTGCAAATTTCTCAACGTCTCAGATTTCTTCATTTCTTTCGCTAAATTTTGTATTTGTGGAACTGTATTCCAATATCCTCGTCTTTGTTCGTGTCGATTAATACTCATGGAACTTATTCGTTGCATCCTGTTACAGCATTAAATGGGGAGTAATTCAACTCATTAGGAGTCACTCTGATTTCGTGAAGGAAAATCTTTTGAAATGACAACCACGATTCTTTCCTGGCAATGATTGCCGATTTTAGAGTTCGATATACCCGTTTAATTAACCCATTTGTTTGTGTATGATAGGATGTTGTCCGTGGTCTGTGGTAACCTATTATATTCGACAGCACTGAAAACAGTTCTGTTTCGAATTGACTACGCCTGTCTCTAACAATAGGAAGGGAGACGCCGAAAATGGATATCCAGATGCCGACGAAAGCTATCAAGAGAGACGCATATATCCACTAAGTAGCCGAGTTCGAATCCCAGTCGAATTCATTATATTCACTTACGTGCTAATACTCTTGGAAAAGGTATTAATCCTCTTCTTCTCCCCCACCCCAGCTGTCGGTAAATAGCAGGACAGACCGGGTTGTATAGCCTTGGACGGCAACTGGTCTACCGCAGAAAGAAATGGCAACCTACTGCAGGAAAAAAAAATATGCCTTATCAGTTATGTATCGAAAGATACATGATCGCCTACGCGTGTATCACGCATGGCACATAACTGACTGAACGTTAGTAATTATCGATATGGTAATAAACAGGGGCCAGTAAATTTTTCACAGTCTGCATAATCTATCACACATAATCTATCAAATCAGTTTCGATAAAATGATAAGGTTCAGATACTACTGATCGAAAATGAGCAAATCAATAAAAACATGGTGCAAGGAATGCCAGAATTTCCGGAAAGCAAATAAATAAATAACCAATCATACAAAGAATACAATTCAGTCATCTGATTTATCAACTAATTTTTTCAAACAGTGCACTTGAATACTATAGGAGGTGGAATATTTTTTGGCGTGATAATTTTCGGGAAAAGAAAGCAATATAAATCGTTTGATTGTCGATCATTTGGTGTAATGCTGCATAATTAGGATTATCTATCCCAAGCCGATAGTCATTAATATTTAAGTTGGTTTTAAGCGAGAGCAGTTACACTTGATAAAGTCCTTTTCATAGTATCTAAAGTTTCCATCTCTTACTTTTTTTTAATGTTATGTCTTTCGACTTTAGGTTCACACGTATGCACTCAGTGAGCGGGAAAACCATATCGCTAAAACATGGAACGGGCTTCCTATAGAAATTGACCATTCCACGGAATCAACGCAAAGATTTAGTGTCGTTTGACAGAGAAAAGTCATTTAACTTGGCAAGTTTCTTAACGCTGGGTTTTATATTTTTAGAAATTCGGAATCCCAAAGATTCAAGTTCGTGCGCACCGAACAGACGTTACGAAAGAGAAATTTTACGGTCGCACTCACTGTATATTTGTAGAAATTAGTTCAGGTGCTTGGAATGAGTTTCTTCGCCGTCCGTAGTCGTCCTGGGTATGACGATAAACTACACCCAAGAGCAAGGCCTCTGATCGGGAGACTAGCTGTTTTGTGGAGTTTGGAACCCGCTTTTTAATGTTGTTGTTTCCACATCCAACCTGACTCTGGGTGGTAGCACCTGTTAGGGACCCTGTTATTGGCAAGTGAACGCCCAAACACTATGAAAGCATAAAAATATATTTTTATGGCAAAAATAAATACATTTTTACGTAGTAAAATTACCAACAATACATTTTTATAATAAAATTACCAAGAATACATTTTTAAAGCAAAATTATCAAAAATACACTTTATAGCAAAATGACCAACAGTACATTTTATCTGTAATTCAAGACAATTATTAATAACCATAAATTTTGATATGTCACTAAACAAAATCAGCAAACCAAACAACCAATATGAAAGAACTCTTTCATGGCATTAATCCATATAATATCCTACAATTTCTTCAAGAAATTGTTGTGACCAAGTAAATGGTTAAGTAATAACAAAAACCAGGTAATATCGTATATTAAACAGTAAGTGCACCAGAAGAGTATTACACGACTAGTGAGAGTGTATCAAATGAACAAGCGCTCAATCTATTCACTGTTCCCCGAAGCCTTCTGTCCTACTAATTTGGGCGGAAGAGTCTAACATAGACTCTTTAGAGGGAGGACACCACAACAGAAATCAAACTGTATTCCAAAATATAACTGAAACAGAATTGCAACATAAAACACATATATCAGCGACTTTAGTAATTATGTCCATACAATCATGTATGCAAAAAGGCTACACAATTCAAAAAACATTGTTTATGTCTGTGGTTATATACGAGAAAGTGTGAGTGAACAAGTGAAACGAAATATACAAAATTTTAATAAATGTTATTTTCCTCATGAAATCAGGCGGGCCATTCAGAAAATCAAATGGACTGCATGCTGACCACGGGCAGTAGTTTACCTATGGCTGTCCTGAAGTTTTCTCAATCTCTTACATTCCCTTGCATCTTAGTGACATTGTCGCCTTGCTTGGGAGTAAAATGATAAAAAAAAAAAATAGATCACCAGAGACATAACCCGTCCTGGGTATGACGATAAACTACATCCGCGTCCTGAGTAAGACGATGAACTGCGTCCAGGGGCCTCTAGTCGGGAGGTTTTGAGGAGTCCGGAACCGTCTCTAGGTGTTCCCGGGTCTGCCCTGGCCCGGAGTGGTGGCATCTGTTGGGGTCCCAGTTGTGGGTAGGTGATTGGCTCCCCAAGCTGTGGTCGGGGCACTGTGAAAATGTAAAAATGGATTTTAGTGCCAGAAATAATTTGTAAAAGATTACTGCTAACAATGAATTTTTGAAAAAAAAAAAAATTTCCAGTGATACATCTTTGAAGAAAAAATATTCCCAGGAGTAGATTTTTCAAAGGAAAATATTACCAGCGATACATTTTAAAAATATTACCAGCTATCAAAATTTTGTCGGCATTAAATAACCCATTGAGGTTGATATGCCGTAAAACAAAATAGACCAAACCAAAGACATAACCGCGTATATCTCTTATACTGCCTCATGGATATGCCTACCCCCAGGTTTGATACACCCTGCTCTAAACATTTCAAAGCTGACAACTCTTCGCCGGGATACGGAGGGGGGTGATCTTTAACTTAATTATAAACGATATCGATATTAGTGGATGACATCTCAGTTTAATAGTAAATCTATCCATACGATTGTTATCAAGTTCACGAAACACTTACACATTCACGACGACGCCCACTTGTACAAAGAAATATTATTATCAGCATTAGCCTGACTTGCGCTTAACTTCGCAAGTTCAGATAAGAAAAGGGGTGAGCTTTCATAATGCCGGAAGGCTTACGGTCACATCACGTTGAAACAGCGGTTTGCATACGATAGCCGAAGTTAAGCAACGTCGAGCCTGGTCAGTACCTAGAAGGCTGACCACTTGGGAATAATGCGTGGATGTGCTGGTGGCGTATTGGATACTGACACGTAATTTTTAATCGGAATTGGAATTATATACAGAGCGAGATAGAGATTTGGTAAGAGAGATGAGAATATTGAGATAGATAGACTGAAAGAGAGACAGATAAACAAAGTTAAGGAGATAGATAGATAGATAAATAGATAGATAGATAGATAGAATCAGATTGAGATAGATAGAATCAGACTGAGATAGATAGATAGATAGATAGATAGATAGATAGATAGATAGATAGAATCAGATTGAGATAGATAAAATTAGACTGAGATAGATAGATAGATAGATAGATAGATAGATAGATAGATAGATAGATAGAAACAGACTGAAAGAGATATAGATGAACAGAGAGTAGCAGATATAGATAGATAGATAGATAGATAGATAGATAGATAGATAGAATCAGATTGAGATAGATAGAATCATACTTAGATAGATAGATAGATAGATAGATAGATAGATAGATAGATAGATAGATAGATATGATCAAAATGAAAAGATAGAAACAAATAAATAAATAAATAGACTGAAACAGAAAGAAATCTAAATACAACGGCATTCAAGGGCCATGGCCATATTACGTTGAAACACAGGTTCTCTTACAATCACCGAAGTCCAGCAACATTGATCCTGGTTGGACTTTAGATGAGAGACAATATCAGATGCTTTAATCTTGGATGTGCTCTTGTAATGGCTCGGAATTGTTAATCCTAGAGCTGCGTTCCAATTACCGTTGGGTTCGTTATATTCTATTACGCGCAAATATCATTGGGAAAAGCATGAAATCACCGATTCCCCCAAAACTATGGGTTAATTAGTACGACTTGTATCACTAAACCATTATTATCTCAAAAACATTCTCACAATTTCAAAATATTTTTTGGCTTTTAATAACCTGGAAAGTGTTGACAAACCGTAAAAAAGGAATCAAATCAGACAATGCTGGAAATGTTCCATTCATTAAATGATGTATTCACTAAGCAATTTAACTGATTGATTGACTGATTTATTTAACGGCATATCAACTCCTTATGGGTCATTTAATGTCGAAATTTAATTTTCTTCTGAGCTTTGATGTAATAAAAATATGATGTTATTCTGCTTTCACAATTGAATACATGGTAGATGATACACAGCTTTTGTGCATATACATATACATTGTATATGATTACTAGAGGCGATTATATTTGTGTTTTATTTTGTAGTTTAACAAAACAACAACTTATATATTGGAATACAGTTTGATTTAAGAAATTGTAATTATATTATTATGTAGATTAATATCTGTTGTCCGGTCTGTCTCTCTCTTTTAGTCATTTAATTTATTTTGTTTTTTTATCTATCAATGCCAACAATTTCTACCTACAACCGGAACTCCTCTATCCATACTAACTGTGTCTTATCTAATATAAGCCAGGGATTGGAATCTCCTAAATTCCGGCCAAGTGGCACTTGATTCCGAATGTTTTATTCATCTATTTATTTATTTTTATTTTCTTTTTTTCCCGTTGATTCTAAAACAACACTTCAGACTCAGATAAAATCGTTCACCATCCATTTGTATATGGAATCCCGATCAAAGCCAGGTCTACAGAAACAACCAGGTCCAGTGAGAATTGGAATATAGCACCCAAAACAGGATACCAGCGTTTGGGCCAATGTATAGTGGATAAATACAATCTGGAAGATGTCACTCCCCACACGCAAACGACGATAACTTGCATGAAGGTATAAGTTGCTTTGATTCCTGAACACTACAGATCACTCTGCTTGAACAACACAGCAAAATTAACTTAGAAAGAGTATAATGACTCTATGCGGGTCTTTAATTTATTACAACAACCTGAAGGTGGGATGTCACATGGGGGCGGTTTAAAGTGGTATGCCGACGCATCTAACCATCTACCGGGTGGTAGATGGTTAGATGCGTAAATTAGCGTAATGATATGATACACTAGAATTTCCGCGTCTTATTATTTAGTTCCGCAAAGACTTTATGCATTGCCATTGTTAGAGAGAACTTATTATTATGAACGTTTTAAAAGCATGTCAGTTAGTCAGTTATGCGCCTTAGGCGATCATGTATCTTTCGATACATGACTGAAGAGGCAATTTTTTTCCCACGCTAGGTTGCCATTTCTTTCTGCGGTAGAAATCGGTTGCCATCAAATGTTATAGAACCCGGTATATTTACCCAATATCTTATTGGCATTATTACCAAGAGTATTAGGACGTAAGTGAAAGTGATGGATTCGACTGGAATTCGAACTCAGCTCACTGATTCGTCAATCCGAGCCGTTATCCATTACTCCACCGTGCCTCTGTGACAAAAAGGCGATTGGTGAATGTAACCGTAAACACTGATTTATGTTGCTTTATTAATTGAATATGTTATGTTAGATCTGATCATGGAATTAAAGCATTTCGGAGAGTTTACATTCAGATTTACTGGACATCAAATCGTCAATTTTGAGAAAAATTCTGTCTGCCTCAGGGCTCCAAAGGGGTTTTATAACGCCTTGCAAAATATCTCTTGGAGGCCATTTGCATTATCCCCTTACGTGGTGTGAATTGATTTTTAAAAAAGACATATTCCCCTTACTGAGCATGTAAATGAACTCAATATGCAATGTTTTAATTCATTTTTAACGTGGTAGTGAAAACACTTCTTTTGTTTGTTTGCTGGTAAATAGCAAAGCCTAAACTGTTTCCTGACATTGCCTTTTCCACGCTGAGCTGTGTTTTCAAAGCGCCATTGTTTAATAATGAAAGGTCAATGTTCCTGGACTGACAATGTGGTTGAGTGAAGATAATTAAGTTTATTTCTGGTTCAGCAAGAAAATAAGAGTAAAAGATGTTTAGCGTTTATTCTTTCAATTAAAAGCAAACTATTCTTATTGATGGACCCAAGACAAGAAGTTGATGTTTGTAAATATTAATCACTGTTAGTATCATTAACCTCGGATCCTCATTCAATCTAAACAAATTTTGGCTGTAGAAGATTAACTCCAAAGGTCCGAAAAAACCTTGGTTTCATTAGGAAAAATTTATTCCAACCTTAGAAAATAATATATGCCAGTAAGGTTTAAAGCTGTGTTAAAAAACATTTTTTATAAAAGAAATCAATCCTCATTTCTTGTTCTTCCTGAACAGTTTAAACAAGATGCATCAAATTACTTTGTTGTTGTTATTTACTGCGAAAGAAAGGTAAATTATGGAGGACGCTAAGTGACGAAATTTTGGGGCCTATTAAACAAAAATCGGCTACAGTCACTTTCGCACCGCCGTAAGGTTGCCTCTCCGTGCCTTTTATTTATTTTTTTTTATAAATACTTTCATGGTAATTGTTCGGATGAGCTTATCGATATGGGGATTAAATTTTGAAATTATTATGATATTCCACTCCCCACCAACAAACATGAATTGTACTTATGGGGACGAGTTAGAATTTTCATAGAGACATGAGGTATTAGGGTTGATGTAGTAAGAATGGTAAGAAAGAATGCGTTGTTTTGGGTCAGTGGATGTACCTAGCTAAGATTAAATTTAAGACAGAAGACCGTCCTTTTTCCCCATTCCTTTTGGCCTTGAAAGATTTATACACACACACACACATATATATATATATATATATATACATATATATATATATATATATATATATATATATATATATATATAGGCATAAAAAGTGTCAAATGTGTGTGTGTGTGTGTGTGTGTGTGTGTGTGTGTGTGTGTGTTGAATGCAACGCAATTTTCGGACGGATTTGCACCAAAATTTGTGCACATGCTCCAAGTTAGTGGGAAGGCCAAGACTGACTTTGCATTTCCCAACTCCCATCGATAGTGGAAATAATCAATTTTTTCATGCTTCTACGGTAGTTTTCATGTGGTTTGCGGCCATTTTGTACTGGCCAGAGTGAGAGCCTATAGCTGGCTGCCACGAATTGGCAGGAAGATTCTATTGACCAGTGTGGGAGACAACAGCTGACTGACACGAATATTAACTAGCATGCTAGCATGCAAAAAAATCGATAGCTGCATTCGTCACAAGTGGGAAAAATTTAAATCTGCATGGCACTTTACTCCAATTGGCTCATTCACTTGCTTAAACGTAACGTTGATTCTGATTCCGCAGAACTGGGTTGGGTGTGAAAACGTATTTGTTGTTAACATTCTTTTTCCATTCGGGTTTTCCAGTTACGAGTCCTTTTTTAAAGCTGATCGTTTTGTGTTCATTTTGTTTAGTTCTTTTTTCGTAACAGATTTAATGTTTAGTATAGAGCTTAGAAAAATACGCAGTGTGAGATAGGCAAGAAGTAAGGCATGTAGCAACATCAGCATGGCAAAGGGCACTTCTTTAAAGGCAAGGAAGGGCAAAAATATTTTAAGTCAATTGATAGCGATTGTATGTATATCTATATCTATCTATCTATATATATATATATATATATATATATATATATTGCTCTTCGCTATGATACCTAGACTTTAGGAATCTAAGCGTCGAGACCTCATCAATTTACAATTGAGCTGGCTAGTTGTAGCATTAACTTCAAACAGTTTTTTTTTTCTCGCATTTGTGGAACTCCCTTCTGGCTCCATGCTTTCCGGTCAACTTTAATCTGCAGAAATTTAAATGCAATGTCAATCACTATCACTGGTGATGGTGACGATATGTCTCCATTTATCTTCCCACAGAGCCTCAGAGTTAACACGGAGGCCTACATCAAGTGCCTTGAGGAGGTAGTGCTGCCTTGGGACAATAGGGTGTCTGCTTTAAGACCCTATGTCTGGTAATAGGATTCTGCACCATTCCACACAAACCGGAAAATCCAGTCGAGGTTATCAGACAATTTCTGCGATCATATCCCACCTGACTCCCCAGACTGTGCACCCCCCTCGATTATTATGTGTGGGGGACAGTTGACGAAGAGACCAACAAAACTCCTTGTAACACCAAAGATGAAATGAGGGCAAGGATTATAGCATCATTCACCAACTTAAACAAGGAGACCGTCCAGAAGAGTTGCAGGAGATTCCGAAACCTTCCGGAAGTCAGTGGTAGAAGCGTTATTTTCGTTTTTTGTCTAATTTAGACGGCAATTTCTACATCGTGTGTGTGTGTGTCTGTGTATGTGTATGAAAAATATATTAATATTTATTTCATTATATACTTAAAAACATTACGTTTATGTATGAGTGCATTTGTGGATGTGTGTGAGTGCTTATGTATGGGTGTGCATTTCTGTGTGTGTGTGTCCATGCCAATTGTTAAAATATACAGAACCTCTTTTTTTAATATTCATACCTCTCTCTCTCTGTCTCTCTCTCCCCGTCTCTCTGTCTCTCTCTCCGTCTCTCTCTCCCTCTCCCTCTCCTTTCTCTCTCTCTCCATATATATATATATATATATATATATATATATATACTGACAAGGTACTACGGTTAAGTTTTTTTTATTTAATTTTCGTGTTTTTTGCTGAATGTTGTAGTGTTACTTTCTAACCCTAACCTTGTCAGTTGTATTTAATGAAACATGTATAAAATAGGGATTGCTGCCCACATGCACAATTGTGTATATATATATATATATATATATATATGTGTGTGTGTGTGTGTGTGTGTGTGTGTGTGTGTGTGTGTGTGTGTGTGTGTGATGGTTGATTAGTGGACGTACAGGGTGGTATATGTCATTTTTCATACCAGCAGACACCTCCTTCTGGTGCCAGAAACGCAATGTGTTTAACATGTGCCCCGCCAATATCCGGCTGGGGTTCACGTAACAGACGGCTAATTCTTCGTGTAAGTGGATGAAATGGATATTAGTAGATAGAAGATAGTGGACGTTCTTGCGTTTGGGCGCGCAAAAATTTAGACAATCCGGCTGACTAGCGATTTGACTCAACAGGCAAAGTGATAACGCGATATAGACAGACATATTGGTTGGCTGATGTGCAGAAAGATACAACAGATTCGAAGAAAGTTTGATAGGGTGATGACGTACATAAAAAAAAAACTGATTTAGATATATATTTTTTAACTAAAGGTCACTCAGTATAATGCTAGAGAGTCACTCAAGTTAGAGGCACCATGAAGTGAAGATTACGAAGATAATGAGGATAGCTAACGATTGACTTGAGATAAAAGTTGTAATCTTTTAAAATCATTTCACCCAAAGCAAGGCTATAAGGTCACTAGTGTGCAGGGGGGGTTGTTTACAGGCAGTGAATGAGGAGACTTTAGTGAGGAGAAGAGAGGAAAAGGACAATAAAGAAACAGGATTCAGGAACACATAACACTGATGTTGCATATTTTTGGGATGTCAACGAACACTCGTTGTCACTTTCGTAATGCTTGTTGTAGTAGAGACTTTGTAATCGCAGATACAACTATAGTAACGCCGTTGAACAATACTGGTGTCAGTCGCCTTCGAATAATCTCGCACTAAGAACACTTGCTCGATAATACTCGCTCGAAAAGTAAGCATTGTATAGCGAACTGAATAGAGAAATAGTATAGTGAATAGAGTAGAGAATAGCGGCCCATATAGCAATAGAGGATAGAAAAGAAATAGTGATCAATTAGACGTCAGCTACTTCCTACATATACGCGTTCCCTCTATGGTCACATGGTCTACTTAACCCTAGAACACTAACCATGGATGTATAGTACCCAGCGCAAATTTTCCTATTTTTAATTACAATTTTCAGTACCTGATTTTCTTACCTAAATAATATGTTTTTCATTTGCTATTAATGTTAACTCAAAGTACAAAGTTTGAAGTGCCTGCATGTAAAATATTTCAAATAAAGATTTATATTTTATTTTATTTTATTTATTTATTTTTTGATGTTTTCAAAATCGGGTATGATATACCCATGGTTAGTAGTGGTGCAACTTTAATTGCTGGTTAATGTTCTAGTGTTAATTCAATAATGGGATCGCCTGTGTTTGCTCACTGGCGATCTATGTTCAAACTCAAGTGTCAGCAGCGACACTTTATTCCTATATAACACATTTAAATTTTTCACGATTGTAGTTATCAGGGAAGCAAGAAATCGGGAGTTCCACAGGTAGGAAATGCAAGAAAAGAAACAGTTAGAATAGAACTGGCGGTTGCATCTAGTTAGTTCAACAGTAGAATGGTGAGACCTAGTTGCCAATCTAGCAGCACGCTTGAATTCATGCACTCGAGTCACTAAGCTCATCGGAACAATTGCAATGATAATATTTGTAGAAAAGACAAAGGGAAGCCACTTCACGTCGGTAGGAAAGTGAGTGAAGTAGAGATGTCAGGTCAGAATCGATGACATTTCAGATGCTTCTTTGAATTTTCTAATATTCGGGGAAGCATCCACGTAGGAGTCTGTTCTATAAAGTTGTGGTATTTGGTGGGAAGCTTTCCGAGTGGAACACGCTTTTTTTCCGATAAAATAAAGGATTTCTTCGGATACCTGGAATTAATCTCACACGATCCAAATCTGCTCACATGAAATAAGGATCCCCAGTTTAATGGGGTCCAAAGATTATTTACAAAGTGGGGGGGGGATTGGGAAATGAAGATCATGAGAATAAGGAGGATATATAACGATTGGCTCTTGAATTAATGAGGTTATGATTGTGTTTTTTTAAGAAACCACCCACGCGGGAGCGTATCTCACAAAGTAACAGTTCCTTACAATTAAAATACGAGAGTAATATAAATGATTCGATCCGTAGACCAGAAAAAAATGTATAGGCTGATTAAAAGGTGCCCAGGCTGACAAAGGAAGATACTGAGATATTGACATGAGAAATAAATCCAAATAAAAAGTCCGACCGCTGAGCAATAGATAAATAGAACGAAAGAACGATTGATAACTCGTTGCGTATTGACAGATCATGTGCCAGTCAATAGATATCATATTTTTTTTCTCCGTATAAGGCGCTGTTTGTTTTCAAACGTCTTCAAAAATCCCCCCGCCACACCTTCCACCTCGATGAATGTTACTATTGTTGTGACACATCTATGAGTACAGGCACACTGATATTTAAAAGATTATTTGCATGTTTTGCTTAAGTAGCTTAGTAACCAGTAAATCTTTGACCCAAAGACTGTTGGGGTGGAGGGCAGAAACTTTATTGGAAATGCGGTTATAGTGTTTTCTTAAATATTTTTTTTACTAAATTATAAGTGCAGGTTTCAAAGCCAGGACACACCGTACCCCACACACAGCATCAACTCATCTACATTCCCTTCGTATTCCTTGGCTAAGGAATAAGTTAGCTTCCTCAGATAGCTTCTTAACTCAGAACTGCCAATTTAAGCAACAGACTCCCGAGAGGGTACTTCCCCGACTACTGCATTCTTAACTACTTCAAATCAACCGTTATCTATTCTACATATCCTTATAATACCACCTTCTTCCACTTTCCTTTACGCCGTTAAAACTATCTCCTTTAGTAACCCTCTACCTTGAGTGGCTTTTGAGCCTTGTTTTGGGTGAACAATTGTATGAAAATAATGTCTAATGCCGAACCTTGTTAAATTGTGGGATATACTATATTTACTAAGTTTCGTATAATCTAACAGAACATCAATAATGTGCCACCCAGAATGGATTAAAGTCACAATGTTCACAAATTTTCACGAATATGACATTTTATATATATATATATATATATATATATATATATATATTAAAAGATGCTGCATACAGATAAACAAGTACTCAGGACAAAGATCAAAGATGCATTTTCGTTTCGATGCAAATGCATCTCGACAGGTGAGGAAGAAAGATTGTATATATATATATATATATATATATATATATATATTGGGTCACTAGCACACAAAACAGTGAATGTATAATATCGAGAATATTTAACATCGAAAACTTAAGAAAAATTAATTCCTTTTAATATGATGTTGCAATATCCACTCTTTGCCTGATGAATGCCGGGAGACTGGAAACACGTGTAGCAAAATTATGGAAAATGAAGCATAATATATTTTTTTTAAAAATCCACATTATAACTAAAAACATTTGCGGTTTCTCTCTTCTTTTTAGTATACACACTTTTCTCTCGTTTGAACTACTTTAACCTCTTCCCATTATATACATACATATAGATAGATAGATAGATAGATAGATAGATAGATAGATAGATAGATAGATAGATATACAGAGAGAGAGAGAGGAGAGAGAGAGAGAGAGAGGAGAGACAGAGAAAGGAAATTAATACAAATAAAGAATTTATCACTTAGCTGACTACTGTTACCTTCAGTATCCCGACTACAGTTTCTTATATGGATTGTATTTATTCAAATGGAGAGGAACAAATATATATTTATTAGGAGTATAAATTTTAGCTCTGTTATTTTACATAGAGCGTTGTTTCTTTTTCAACAACACTCCCTCAACGCGTTTACACACACACAGAGAGAGAGGGGGGTAATTAAAGACACATTCAGACATAAACTGATCAGATTGAATTTATCGAATTATTGGGTAAAGATTCATATATATATATATATATATATATATATATATATATATATATATATATATATATAAGGGGGAGGTTATATATAGGTATATATATATATATATATATATATATATATATATATATATATATAAGGAGAAGGTTATAGTCGTTCCAACGAGAGAAAAGTGTATATTTTAAACAGAAGAGAGAAGCCACTAACGTTTTTGGTTATAATGTGGATTTTAAATATATATTATACTTCATTTTCCATATTTTGATACCCGTGATTTTCCGGTCTGGTGACCTTCATCAGACAATGAGTGGTATTTTCACATTTTATTAAAAAGGAATTAATTTTAATTATGTTTTCTGATGTTTAATCATTGTCTTTTTGCGTATTAGTAATCCAAATTTTTCTTATATATATATATATATATATATATATATATATATATATATATATATATATATATATATATTGTCTACTTGGGCAGCAATCCCTGTTTTATACATGTTTCGTTAGAGACGACTGTCAAGGTATTGCGATTAAGGTTTTTATGTTTTTGTTTTTGTGTTTCTTTTTTGTCTAACTAGACGACTTGCGTTACACCTACCCGACCATAGTTCAGTTAGAATTTATTTAAACACACAAAAAACTACCAAATTCCATCCAAATCATACCCCATGCGAAATAAGATAAAAAATAATGGGTACCCAATAATAAAAAAGGAAACTCAGTACTCAGTAACATAAACTATGAACACGGCCACAATGTGTTGATCGTGTTGGTAAAATAAAACATTCCTATAACGTCAAACACATACATAAAAACAGACATTCAACTAAAAATTTAAAATAAAAACCGTCTTTCATAATGGCTAAGAGAATAACCGAAAACGCTCAGACATGCAGAACCTTTTGTACGGTTTTACACACTTATATATATATATATATATATATATATATATATATATATATATATATATATATATATATATATATATATATATAAGGTATTTATATAAACTGAAGTAAGTTTAAATATTTAATTTTATGTATTGCTATTGATGCTCTCAGTTCCCTTAATATTGAGTGCCTTAGTCACAAAGACAGCTTTTTCATAAAGCCTTCTTCTCCAGAATTACACTGCGAAACATCTTTATATATATATATATATATATATATATATATATATATATATATATATATATATAATGTCGCACATTGATTGCTGCTGATATTAAATAGTCCTATTTATAATATAACAGTGTTATAAATTATATATTAATAATAAATATACATTATCTCTGCGGCAGCACAACTATGAGTTTCATCAATTCAGCACCTGAAAATTACGTTGTGCATTAAGTTGATCGTTGTACTGTGGGGAAATATATATATATATATATATATATATATATATATATATATATATATATATATATATATTGCTTTTGTATGTTCAGTACTTAGTGGAAAGTGCTCAATATTATATGGGTGCGTTTGTGTGAACTAAAATGCGTACAACTGTATGTAAGTGTGTCTGTGTGTATGAGAGTGTCCACCCACCGAGCAAGTTGAAGGAAATTCCCCCTCCCACCACGAAACATAATGAAACAAGCAAAAAAAACTGTTTGTCTGATGATCGCAAAAGCCTGAAACCCAGAATCACAAGCTCATATCCATACACACTATATATATATATATATATATATATATATATATATATATATTAAAGAAAAACAAAAACTGTTTGTGGAACCAATGGACAACTTGCCAAAGTCTAAAAGTTTTATCCAGCTACAGTTTATGTACTGAAAAATAAAAACAATAAAGGCCTGAAAGCAAACTTACCTAGTCACTAAAGTGCTCGAAGCCCAGATTTCCTAGACCGAGCAAAAAACGCTTACCAGTAATAAATCCTATAAAAGGGTGGCCCTAATCGTAACCCGAGTTTTATGCTCACGCGATCTTCACGCGATATATACAGAGAAGAGAGAGAAAGAGAGAAAAAGATGTAAGAAAGAGAGAGAGAAAAAAACGACAGTCAGCCGAACGAATAGACAGAGACCGTAATATATAAACCAAAGTCGACAGAAGGAGGATGAAAAAAATCAAACGTTTACAAGTGAGTATATATATAAAAGAATACGGATCAACCCGCACACACCCCTTGATATACATCTACGAAAAGCCATATATACAACGTCTCACATTAATAGCAACTCCCTACCTTATAGATTTTTTATTATAAATGCTTATTGAAATCTAAATATTGATTTCCTGAATGATAGCAAAATCTATCTGCGCAATAACGGTGAAAGACGATTCGTTTTGCGCAGATGAAAACAGACGGCACTTACTCATATGAAATGTACTGAATGTCGAAGTCTAAAGTTAATACCCACTTTGTGAGTTTGAGTCATTAAAATGGACCGTATGCTTGATTTAACGGATAGATAGAAGTGTTTAAGTTCTAAATATTTTCAAATATCAAACAATGCTGATAATACCAAATACGGAAATCCTAGTTGATTCCTACGAATGTTTGTCAAAGGCATGTTTTGGGTGCTGTCTGTTTCCCGTGTCAATAGAGAAGTTATAAAAAATGTCGAATAGCACAAGAGGGTGAGCCCTAAATCAAGTGATTAAACATACGAAACCTAACGCTAAGTCACTGTCATGGCGTATTGGAACTCCCACGCTTCGACAAAAACGGAAGATCAAACGCCATCTTTAAGATGACGCAAAATGGCTTAATTTTAGCCTGACTCCACGTTTGCACTAAAACAGTCGTTCTCCGAATTCATTTTTTATTGCTCAGTCCGGGGTACAGAATGAATGGGAGGGGAATGTATTAATCCAAACTCAGTCAAATTGTGCCTGAGATTGTGTGTACATTAAAGGATACATGCATATGTAAGTCACTCAGCACAACACATATGCATATACATTACATACGCACATACAAAAGTTAAATATTGACATTGTGTGACGGACAGACAATCAGCTTTTCTTTTATAATATAGATTATGTGATCCTTACAGATGTAGAATTCATCTATACTACATACGACAGCAAAGACTCTGATCGAGAGATTGGATGTTTTGAGGGGCGTGGAACCAGTTTTTAGTTTCTAGTGCTGGGTATGACGATAAACTACATCCGGCAGCAAGGACTCTGATCGGCAAATTGGATGTTTTGGAGAGCGTGCACCTCTTAATTCGTGTTGTTCCCACCCTGACCCGGTCGGTAGCACCTCGTAGAGACCTAGCTATGGACAAATAGTGAACCCCCAAATAAAAACAAAACACTATGAAAGTATAAAAGTATTTATAGTAAAAATACAAGTAATAAATTTTTATATAAAATAATTAACAAGGACATATATTTAAAGCAAAATGACTAGCAATAATTTTACAAAATGACCAGCAATATATTTTATAGGAAAAATGACCAACAATAGTTTTTATCTGTAGTTGATGACATACATTTGTGTGCAAAATATAATGAAGCCATAAAATTGAGTTCAAAATATTTAGATTTCGGCATTAAATAACCCATAGAGATTGATATACAGTTAAACAAAATCAACCAACCAATCAAAATGGAAGAACACTTCCATGACAATAATCCATATAACATCCTACAATTTCTTAAAGAAATCAAACTGTATTCCAAAATTTAACTTCAACAAAACTACAACATAAAACACTTGCAATTATGAACGTATTCTTGTAATTTTGTTCACACAAACATGTAGTGCACAAAAGCTGAGTATCATCTACCATGTATTCAGTTGTGAAAGCAGAATAACATATCATATGTTTGGGGGTTATTTGGGGGTTTTTTGGGGGGTTACTTCAATGCTCCCAAGTAAATTAAATTTTGGCATTAAATGACCCAAATACCGTTAAGCAAACAAATGAAATCTGATTTAGAATAAATTTGAAGCAACAAAAATGTGGTCCTAGAAAAGAATACCGCGAATTCGATGGACCGAAAATTTGAGCAGCAATGAATTTCTATAGAAAATGAAAACAAAAAGGAAGAGACAGTTGGAGTTTCTAGAACACATAATGAAGAAGGAGAGCTCGGAAAATTTGATACTCGCAGGACAGATTGAAGATAAGATAGACAGAGGAAAGCAACGCACAACCTACCTGGCTAGTTTTAGTGAACGGTTGGCGAAGCAGACTTTGAGAGAGATGGCAAAAAGACAACATTTAGTAGGAGCTACAAGGGAAAGGAAATTGTGAAGAGCTATCACTGGCAAAGTTCTGAAGAAACACGGCCCATAGAAGAAGACCTGTCCTCCACATTAATAGCATAATAAATAACGTCGAATCATTTCCGTTAATTCACCCCAATAATGTAAAGTTACTTATCGCAAATATTAATTCACACCAAGAAATTATGAATTTTAAATCAAAGTTTGTTTTTTTATTAAATTTTTGGCACTCTTTTCAAATTAAATCAGTTATGTGTCATGCGTGATACACACTTAGGCGATCATGTATCTTTCGTTACATGACTGACGAGGTAGATTTTTTCCGCAGCAGGTTGTCATTTCTTTCTGTGGTAGACCAGTTGCTATCCAAAGCTATAGAACCCGGTCTGTTCTGTTATTTACCTATAGCTGTGTTGGGAGAAGAGGATTCATACCTTTTCCAAGAGTATTAGCATGTAAAGGAATTCTACTCGGCTCTCTGATTCCTCAATCCGAACCGCTATCCATTACTCCACCGTGCCTCCTCTTTTCAAATTATAAATTTGTTTAGATTACCTCACAATAACTTAAGCCCTCAGAATTAAAATTATCAACGATCAGGGAGTTATTCACATTTCATAAGTGCGGATGATATTCGAGGTATTTACAAGGATTTTTTTTAAATTAAAAAAAAATAGATAAAAAAAAAATCTTTTTTGACGTATTTGTCAGGGTGAAAGCGAACACACCCGAGTCGCCCATATTTGGGGCGATCGCAAAGGTCAACCCAACCGGAGTGCAATGGAAGGGCCTCGGTCTGGGAGAATTTGGTGTAAATTTTAGTAAATAGTAGCAGTAGAGCCCGGCGTGGCCCGGGGATGTAACAGTAAAAGATAGATCAAGTATTGACCATCATAAAGACTGTAAAATAAAATTGACAAAGATTATAGTTTAAGGTTGATGGACACGCATGTCTTAATTAGTTTTATTGTTTTGTTTTGTTTTTTTGTGTGTTTTTTTTTTTTTTTACGAATTGGTCAAACCCAAACTCAAACAAAAACATTGTTTTCAATCGTTATGAGTCTACCGATTGAATAGAATTTTATTATAAACAATTGTCTTGTAAATAGACATTTTTAAAGCATTCTGAATGTAAAAAATAAAGAAAAAGTGCAAGACAATAAGAAACACTACCTGCCAAAAAAAGTGAAGTTTTGTTGAAATCGGTTGAAACATGTAGGAAATCCGATCCCATATATAAACGAACACACACATACACAAACAACCTGGGTTTTAAGTATAACTCGATATGAGTTGCCCCCTTTCTTTCTCGACAGCAATTCCTTTTAATTGTGTTTTCAAATTGATTTCGTACAAAAACAATTGTGTTTTTCCAATTTTTGGCGCTGTCAGAACCATTGCAAGGTAATTTTACGTAGTCCTGTGAAGTTTTGTTGAAATCGGTTGAAAAATGTAGGAAATCCGATCCAATATATAAACGTACAGACACACACACACACACACACACAGCCTGGGTTTTATAATAAGTATGATAAATTCTTTTTATTTTGGAGTGAATTAATATTTTGTGGTGAATTGACAAAAAAAGATCCGTTTAAATAATTCTTTGAATGACTTCGTTAGTTTTCTAAAACTTATAGGAAAAAAAAATGAAAATTTATTAATAATGTGAGATGCGTTGTATGCGTGTATATGTAAGTTTGAATTTATGTTTAAAGGAGTTTTCTAGATATGAGTCGAATGCTTCTGACTTCTGCCGTCTCGATCAAGCCAGACACAAGTCGCCACTTGAACAGAAAAACTATTGACGGCTTCAGCTATCTGTGCAATTCAATATTACCCCGTCCGCCTGGCTCGTGGCTAGGGGTGGGCATTCCTATGAGGGGTAGCCAATCCGGAAGGGTGTGAGGTCGGCGCTTGCAAAAAGGGTATGAGTGTGGCACAAATTCTGGAAGAACGGGGGCAAGATAGCGTATTCTTCCGCCGAACTAACCAATCATGAGGAGTGGGGCAGTGCACCACAAGCAACCAGGATAATTCGATCATAGGGACAAGTGGTCAGATAAATGAATAGTGGGTTAATCATGAAATCGCAGACTTCGAGAGCCGACAGGAGATCCTTTTGAGGCTACCAACCGGTGGGAGGAGTGTGTGTGTGTGTGTGTGTGTGTGTGTGTGTGTGTGTGTGTGTGTGTGTGTGTGCGCGCGCGCGTGCGCGTGTGTGTATATATGTATGGTATATGTGCGGGTGTGTGTATGCACACACACATGCACAAGTGTAAGTGTGTGTATATATGTGGATGGAGATATTATCAAAAGATACATATATGCATTTATAATCTATTTGTTCTGTTTTTTTTGACCTATATATATATATATATATATATATATATATATATATATATATATATATATATATATATATATATATATATAGAGAGAGAGAGAGAGAGAGAGAGAGAGCGCTACATAAAAAAGAGTGACAGTTAAGGTTTAAAATAGAATTTAAAAATTTAAAAGTCATACTTGAAGCTTTTATTTTATTTTTAATTTCAATAAATTAAATCTTAATATTTCCAATAAGAAGAATACTTTCATCAGTTTCAAGCCATAAATTGATTGGAATGATTTTATCTGATTACCAGTGAAATGTATAAAATCGTAATTCGCTTTATTAAAAAATGTTCAAAAAGAAAATATACTTTTCTGAAACTTTATTTGATAAAAATTACCGGATTTAAAGTTTAATTAATCTGAATTGAAGAAAACATATTACTTTTAGTTAAAAAAAAAAAACGCAGTAAGGCATTTTTAACACGGAAGTGGGTGTTCTTATGAGGTGTTGCCAGCCTGATCAACAGCCTGATGTTTCGGAAACTTTAACAACTAGAAGACAAAAGAAATAAGATTACATGACAAATACAGCGTAAAGGCCTTATATATATATATATATATATATATATATATATATATATATAATTAAATAATAGATTATATATACATGTGTGTGTGTGTGTGTGTGTGTGTGTGTGTGTGTGTGTGTGTGTGTAATGTATTATTTTAATCCCTATATTCTGGCGGTGTGAAGAAAAACCCGGATAATACAATTTGTAAATTTAAAAAAAAAAAAAAAAGACTGAAGACATCCGTGTTGGACGAAAATAATCAATCAGCACCGCAATGTTTAATCTAATAAAATACTCAATATACTAAGTAGACCAAAATCTAAAAAAAACTACTAAGCTAGAACCACCGACCAAGGTTTCACCTAACGGATCTTTAGGGTACTATATATATATATTAAGAAATGGACAAGGTCCGACAATTTATTCATTAAAGACATTTTTATGTTTAACGTTGTTTTTTATAGATACAAGTATTTAAGTAAATGCTCTGTTTATGATAAACAGTATTAAATAACATTTACCGGCCTGAAAATTTCTCGGACATTCAGGCCGGTAAATGTTATTTAATACTGTTTATGGCAAACAGAGCATTTACTTAAATACTTGTATCTATAAAAACAACGTTAAACATAAAATGTCTTTTAATATATATATATATATATATATATATATATATATATATATATATTGAACTATTTTAATTTTAAAATTTTAAAACTTTCAGTATTTTAATATTTTGTTGAATTTTATATACTTTGGCTTTAAAGACTTACGAATGTGACTGTTGAAGAAATATTAGAAAATTTACAATATTTTTTTAAAATTATGTCTAGTGTTTGAATCTACTTTAAAATCCATATTTCGAATGTTTATTTTAAAGCAAGCAAGCGAGGCAAATTTGGGGAGTCGACGTAACACACTTTGGTGAAATTTTGAAAATTAATAAAAATTATCCTATTACCTATTTTTCTGTCGTCTCTTGAAACAAAATATAGAAATTGCGAATGGCACAATAATCAGCTCACGTCGTCCAAATTCTTCGAAATCCTTCAAAGCATATTCTATATATTGTTTCCAGATTTTCATTCTCAAGTAAGCGTTCTTAATATCAGCTAATGAAAAAATAAAAAAACAAAAGACGTGCAGCACGAATCTCCGATTTCTTTTCTAGGTTAAGAAATCCCAAACCTGCATTGCTTTATACACGCAGTAATTATTTACTTAATGTTCAGAAGGTACACGCTTTGCACTTCAATATGCATACAAGCAGGGTGCTGCGTTCCGGGGTAATGGTTACCAAACTAGAAATGTAGCTTATTAAAAATGAGCTTGATTTTCACTGAGTGGCCCATATTTGTGGCTTTGTGTCAAAACTAAGATATACTTAGTTAATAATAATAAATACACTAATGCTACAGCAGTTATGGCTCTCATAGCTTCTGATGTTAATTGATTGGATGTGTTAACATGTACTTATTTTGCATTGAGTTACAATAAAAAACATCCCGTTCATTACCATCACTCTAGTTACAACTTCTTTATGTGCCATGTACCCTAAAGACGTAGTCGATCATGGCCCTCAACATCTTCCTGTACCTTTTTGCTCTTAATAAATGTTGTATTTTTGCTATTTATCCCAAACCCTATCTACCATCCATTTATTCAAGCCCATCAAGTATGTTACGCGCTGTTTTCCTCTGTCCCGTGAGTATCAGATTCTCCAAGCCTTCCTTCCTCATTATGTGTCCCAGAGATTTCCCAGCTGCTTCTTCCTGATGTTAAGTATAAGTTTCCTTTTTGTTTGCATTTTTTTTAAACATCGTCGTTGCTCAAAAAATATCTTGTTCTATTCGGTATCCGCAGCATCCTTCTGTAGAACCACATTTCTATTGCTTCAAGTCTCTTCTTCATCCTTGAGGATATTGTCCAGTATTCACTGCCATAGGGGGACTGATATTACGTAGGAGTCCAGTACTTTTTTTTTTTTTTTTTTTTTGTTTCTAACGAAGTTTTTCTGTCTCTTACCTCACTGGTTAGTTTTTGGAATGTATCTGTGACCATCCAAATGCGTCTTCGGATTGGGTATGTTCCTTAGAGGTGGATGCTGTTCTCATCTCTCTTCATGAGCGGGAGTAGTCGTGGGTGGGGTCATCATAGGCGGTCGTCGGCACGGTTTTGACAATTTCATTTGTATCTACTTACAGCTACGACTTTATTGCTGTCATTGTTTCTCTCGACCCGATCAAATATCGTTAGGGAACGATTCTTGTTTGCCAGGCTTGTGATACATTAGTGCAACTCACAACGTCAGAAGTTTAAGGCTTGCCAAGGCAACTCGGTTATTCAGACCTGGATACTAGAGAACTTAATTGTGGACCACCGGGGCGGACTGGGTTAACCAACCCAAAGACACCATCTGCAAGTTTAGGTGTTGCTTTAAGCAAAATCTGTAACCATATAGTGCACACTTGGCTGTGATGAATGTTCCCGGTATACTCTTATGAAACCGGGTCTCGTCATAGATATAAAAGATGTTCCAATAACTTGGACCGATTTTAAATGTGAATTAAGTTCTAGCGTCTAATGAACTTTTTCCTTTTGCTTTCAGATTTGGCGGACATTTGGGCGATATTATTTTTACCCATAATTACCATGACTCAAATAGCATGATTCAATAGAGAAATAAATAAATTTTCACCAATAACACTGATTTATTTACTGCTGACTTTGATCCTTCTTAATGAAACACCCTTGTATATGATCCGTCTTAATGAAACACCCTTTATTATGCTTCGGATATTTTTACATCGTCACATTATTGACGTGTTGCTGACTCAACAACAACAACAGCAACAACAATAATAACTTCATTGTATTTATATGAATTGATAGTGGAATCGTTTTTATTTAAAAGTGAAAGTATCATTTAAACTATATTTCAACTGTTAGCACTTGGGTCCCAAGCGATGAAAGAGGCTACTGAAGATTATTTGATATTAACAGACACATATACGCATATTTATATAAATAAAATGACATTATACGAGAAATATTGTTGAATATTTATGTATGTGCTAAGACATATATTCATGCGTGTGACTCTCTATTAGGTAAGTCAAGTGAGTTTATTTTACAAATATCATATATATATATATATATATATATATATATATATATTGTGACATTGGAACATGCATGTTACCACGTCAAAAATGCATATTTGTTTTGATATCTAAGGACCACCTGACAAGACGTCGAAACAAGTATGCATTTTTGACGCAGTAACTTGCATGTTCCAAATTAACGGTTTACAATAAATATTTATTGGTCTACTCTTGTATTGAGCCCTTTTTTAAATTATTGTTATGGACGTTTGAACTTATATTCTTTTCGTTCCTTTATATTAGACACACACACACACACACACATATATATATATATATATATATATATATATATATATATATGTGTGTGTGTGTGTGTGTGTGTGTGTGTGTGTCCGTTGGTATAATCCAGGCGAGTCCTATTAACACAACATAGAATTTGAAATATATTAAAACTGACTCACAAAAAGAGCGCTCAATGTTTATTCACAATAAACAGAGCAAATTTTTACAAAAGGAAATTAAGTGAATGGCCATTTTCACCTACGAATTTTCATTGAAAAAATTCGCAGGATTCCTTTTCTTTCTCCAAACAGTACTCTACAAAACGATACCATAGAGAGTTTGAAAAATTCTGCGAATTTTAAAATTAAAATTCGTAGGTGAAAATGGTCATTTATTAAAAGTATCATAATTCCAATTGTAAAGAAAAGTATGTATATATATATATATATATATATATATATATGTTACCTCTGACGTTATTTTTACCGCATACTCGTATTTAAGTAGAACGTCCCATATGTCAATCAGTTTTTATTTCCCCTCCTACCGACCTACGGATTCGAGAATACTTAATAAAGCGAATACGCAGGCAAGTAGACGAAATAAACACTGTTTAAAAATCTGCGACGTTATACTATAAATATGGATATGCTCTAAATATAACATTTACTTCAAAAGTAAATATATATATATATATATATATATATATATATATAGTTAAATTCCCAGATGAATTCTGTGGACAAGACAG